AGGGGCAATCAACGTGGGTTCATTAGAGGCAGGTCCTGTCAGACCAACCTGGTGGCCTTCTATGACCAGGTCACACAATCCTTGGATGCAGGTGTCGCAGTGGACGTAGTCTTTCTGGACTTTAGGAAGGCCTTTGACACTGTCTCTCACCCCATTCTCGTTAAAAAAATTAGGCAACTGTGGTGTCAATGCCTACACAACCAGATGGGTTGCAAACTGGCTGGAGGGCCACACCCAGAGAGTGGTGGTGGATGGGTCATTTTTGACCTGGAGGGATGTGGGCAGTGGGGTTCCCCTGGGCTTGGTCCTCGGGCCTGCACTGTGCAACATCATCATCAGTGACTTGGACAAGGGGGTGAAAAGCACCTTGTTCAAATTCATGGATGACACTAAGATGTGGGAAGAAGTGGGCATGCTAGAAGGGAGGGACAGGCTACAGAGGTGGGCAGATGAGAACAGGATGGGTTTCAACACTGACAAGTGCAAGGTGCTGCACTTGGGCAGTAAGAACCAGCAGCATACCTACAGGCTGAGGAACTCCCTTCTTGTCAGCACAGAGGCAGAAAAGGATCTTGGGAGTCACTATTGATTCCAAGATGAACATGGGCTGACAATGTGGGGACGCGGTCAGGAAGGCTAACCGCACCTTGTCATGCATCCACAGATGCATCACAAGCAGGCCCAAGGAGGTGATCCTCCCCCTCTATGCGACACTGCTCAGGCCACAGTTGGAGTACTGCGTCCCGTTCTGGGCGCCGCACTTCAGGAGGGATGTGGACAGCATCAAGAGGGTCCAGAGGAGGGCCACCCGCATGATCAGGGGGCAGCAGGGTAGGCCCTATGAGGAGAGGCTACAGGACCTGAACCTGTTCAGCATCCACAAGAGAAAGCCGAGAGGGGATCTGGTGGCCATCTACAAATTGGCCAAGGGGGACCAGCAGGCAATGGGAGAGTCCCTGTTCAGGAACAAGGAATAACAGCCATATGTTGACTGAGAGTAGAATCAGACTAGACATCAGGAGGCGCTACTTCACAGTCAGGGCAGCTAGGATTTGGAACCAACTTCCAAGGGAAGTGGTGCACGTTCCTACCCTGGGGGTCTTCAAAAGGAAGCTAGATAGACACCTAGCCGGGGTCATTTGACCCCAGCATTCTTTCCTGCCATGGCAGGGGGTCAGACTTGATGATCTGATTAGGTCCCTTCCAACCCTACCAACTATGAAACATATGGTCCTGTTGCTCACTCTCCATCTGATATCATAATCCATAGTGACTTCACAATCAGTTTTGTGGCAAAGTTAAGTACCTGCTTCAAACCTTACCTCATATCATCTACACATGAATCAGTTTGTGAATGCAGCTCAACCAACCAACCCCCGGCAGAGATGCGTGTAATAACAAAAGCTCTTTTTTGGTATAGAAACAGGGAATCATAGTGTTGGAAGGGAGCCCAGAAATCATCTAGTTTAATCCACTGCACAGATGCAGGATTAACCATCCGTCTCCATCCCCAAACAGATGTTCATCTAGTTTCTTTTTGTATAGCACAAACCAGGTTTCCCAAATGAAAGAGCTACTCCGACAGCAAGAACTTTTTGGCTGGCATATCTGTGCCCATACTAAGTCTTCTGATGACAGCTGTGTCGGAAAGAGCTTTCATTACAGATGAACTTTCTATGAAATCAAGGTGTTGCTTTCAAGCCAACATCCTTGTTATAAGAAGGAAAGAAGAAAAAAAACCTTTCAACAAATGTTTGTGGAGAAACTTAGTTTTGTAACATCAAAACCTAACTGGGATGGAAGAAAGAAACATCTTTTCAACCTCTTTCACCCAGTGACACTTTAAATAATTAAAACTGAGTTCATCAGGAACTAAATTCTCTAGTTACTAATACACTCAACTGATTGACTGATTGAGTCAGGAAAAACGCTTAAAGCCTGAGGCTTCTCCTACTATGAAACTTTTGTGCATATGATAGTGGTAGAAGTGGAAAGAAACCAAGAGCCCATCAACCTTAGGGAAGCAGGGAGAGAAATCCACTGTCCATTGCCTCATCGCAGTTACCTGATGTATTAGTTAAGGGACATTTTCTTTGCTAGGGGCTTGGGCTAGCATGTGGCAAGATTCTTTTGTTATATTGTGAAAGGTAGCACAGACCCTTAGCTTAAGGAACACTTGCTCAGTTCTCCCTTGGTTTTGCAAGGACAGTCAACACAGCTTATCTTTCTATCCTGCCTAAAACAGCCGTGAGAAGGTGAACAAACCACAATGTATACTTTGGGGCATTTTGTCCTTTTCTGCTCCCTTTGAGCCACTCTGCAGTATCAAAGCGTAGGCAGGAGAGGAAACCATCTACCAAATCCCTTGATAAAGGGCTTTCCTGACAGGGAGAAACAGATGGAGATTCTGTGCATTGCCATCTCCTATGCCACCTTCTTCTAAGTGGTGATATTGCATCTGGATGGAAAGCACAATGATTTGGCTCTCCTCAGTTGTTACACAGTCCCTAGGGGACCATTACTACTTGGAAACAAAGATAGAGCAGCCCCCTGGCTCCTCTGGTTTGAGTTGGGGCCTTTGCTCATGGAGCCGTAACTGGTCATTGGTCCTTAGTTTCTCTTTCCCCTTGAGTGGCTGATTGGAAGGGAGTAATCCTCTCCAACACACTTTCTTAGGCTGATGAAAGCCATCAGAGCCCTTATACTTATCTTTTGAGAGCTTCCAGAGTTGAAAGAAGACCCCACTGCAGCCTCAAGGACTCCACTGTGCCAAGACCATTTATGGGAGCTGTGCACAGACATAAGACCTTGGTTCTTTTCCACCAGTTTAAACTGGCTGGGCCAAGATGGGCAAAAGGGCAGGATGCAGCAATGACACAGTTATCCCAAGTCAGGAGCTTTCCACAGGATGTATAAATAATACCTATATTCAGCAGCTACAGTACAAAGGAAAGAAGGCTGGAGATGATCTTTCCAAGGAATGAACAACAAACAGTAGGTGGTGGGGTCTGTACAAAACTGCTACCAAGAAACAAGCCTGGTCTACTTACTCTCACATGCACCAGGTATGCTCTTGTAGGCTCTCCTTCTTAGGCATGCTCCTGAGAGCAGCCTGGGGCACTTCTACTACCAGTCTAATAGCAACAACACAACACAGTAGAAGGTGGACAAGGAAAAGAAGCACCAGGGTGCAGCTTATGTTGCAGTAGCAGTCTCAGGATCAGTGTGGAGGTGATGCTAACATGTCTGGGAGGAAATGAATGCAGAATTGAATTTAAACACTACTGCTTTGGTACTATAGGCCCATGATAGCCTTAATGATGCACTGCCTCTTGGTCACGATGGTCTTCTTAGCTCCATCCCACTTCCCTTGTCCAGACAAATAGAACTGGACTGAGGTGCATGGGGCAAACAACACTTCCAGGGCCAGCTTCAGATGCATCAGGAGGAGGGACAGCAGGTTGGGTTTCACACCTGTCAGGGAAGCAAGTTCTTCCATGTAGTCAATGTAGTGGACCTGCAGGACAATGTGCTGGCTAGGAATGTATCTTCAGACAAAGGAAAGAAAAAGCCACATTACCTGGTATTAATTATATGCTGGCCGTTTATTCAGAAATCAGTCTGTGACCATATTCATATCTGGAACTAACCTACCCCAAACATATCCAGCACTAATTAAGCTCTTCTCTAGCTCCAGTAAAAATAATTTAAACAAACATTCTGCAAAAATGTTTTTTTACCTGACTGGGTACGCCATGAGTCTGATCCAAAGCGCAGTGAAATTAAGGGATGCCTACCATCACTACCAATGGCTTCAGTACGCTTTAGATCAGACCCTGTATCACATGAAATCTCAAGCCCTGACTGACTTTGGACCTAGTCAATCTCACTACCTAAAGTACCCCCGGTCCATCTCCCGGCCCTTTAAAAAAAAAAAAAGGCCCCAATTCACTGGCTGCTGCCCAATGCTGTGTGGGAGGGCCTCTGCCATGAGCCCCCATAAGCCCCAATGTCCTCTGCAGCAGCCGGTGAGTGGGGGCTTTTTTTTTTTTTAAAGGGTCAGGAGCTGGGCTGCGCAGGGCAGCCATTGGGAGGGCTGGGAGAACAGGCAGGAGTTGGGGGGGCTCATGGCAGGGCCCCCCCACGCAGCTGGGGGCAGAGGGAATTGTCCCCCTCAGCAGCAGCAGGTGAGTGGGGCTATTTTTTTTTAAATTTATTTATTTGTTTTAAAGAGCCGGGAGCTGGGGCCAGGCAGGGCAGCCATGGGGGAGTTGGGGAGCACTCAGAGAGCCTGGGGGAGTAGGCAGGGGATGGGATGGGACCTGGCAAGGGTCCCCCCATTGTCCTCTCCCCCCTCATCCATCTCCCCCTCCTCCGCCCTTTACTTACCATTATGGAGTCTGGGTCCAGCTCCCTGAGGCAGCAAGTGGGGACTGCCCAAATCTCCAAAACTTCTCTGAATCAATTTGAACCTTTTAATTGGGCTCTTGATTCAATTTAGATTCAGAGATTCAGCTGCTGAATCTCCTCCAAATCAAATCAGTACTCTAGGGCTGTGTGAAGCTTTGTTTGCACGGCCAAATATTGCATTTAGTTAGTTTTCTCCTACAGGTTCAACAGGAATAAAGACGACATGTTTTAGAGTAGGTTTTTAAAGCAGGTGTATACCACCTCCATGGGGTAGCCATTGTTAAAAACATGAGTCAGTCACCCAGTTTCTTGTCCTGGTGCTGAGAAATACCTGCCAGTAGAGAGACAGGACTGTATCAAGGTAATGCTTTTGCTCCTTGTTTTGTGCCCTTACCCTTGTGCTTCCTTGTAGCAGGTTAGTCTCCTTGAAAAAATGCTAAATAAGTATCCGAGTCAGATATTTGAATCATGTGAATACAAATGGAAAACAATAGAATCTAATACTGCAGGTTATGCAAAAAATACCACTTTTAAAAAAAATTTAATTTGTGTCATTGCACAACTCAAGGGTCCATGCTTTTATTTTCTAGGTGCTGTGCAAGAAAATAAAGACCAGCGAGTTCCCAATCTAGAACTACGCACAAAAAGTGAATGGAACAAACACATGGAAGGAAGAGAGGAAAGAGTAACAATAAGATGAGCTTTTAAAACAAAAACAAAACAAAACAAAAATCACAAATTTACATTAGTCTCAGCTTGTCACCTGTTCACCCAACTCATCATTTTGTCTAAGTGCTAAGAAATCTTAGGAGTTAAACACATTAAACAGATTTTAAAAAATGTATTAAAAAGTATGAGGAGAAAATCTGATATTCATTTCTCATACTCTGATACTCATACCCAGTGAGACTCAATTCTAAATCCTTTGGGCATTTTATAAAAAAAAAAGAGAGAGAGAAGAATTATAGTGGATGTGGGTGGATCTAAGAAGCCAGCTCCAGTCTGTTCTTCCTACTGTTAAAGAGGGGTTGAAAATGATTCAAACTTGTGACCCTTTGGTTAGGACTTTCCAAAATAAACAACTAGGCTTGCATAATTTCCTGTCCCAGTCTGTGGAATCTCAGGGCACATGGGTGATAATTCTGGGAATCATACAAGATGACAAAAAACCTTGCTGGATATCTGGAAGTCATTTTTGTTTAAGACACTATCTCTCCTTTTCCTTACAGCATCATGAAGGAAAAACCCGTTTTGAACACCTTGGGCACATCTACATATCATTAATGAGCCATAAATATATGGCACATATGACCCCGTATGTCTGTAGGTAGAGACTGCTGTACAGGTACTAACGTATGTGGTTATGATCCAGAAATACAGGGTTTTTATAATAAGTACAGATAGGGTCTATGTGAGACCAAGGCTGTGGTGTGTCTGGAGAAGGAAGGGGGAAAAGAAACGTAGGACTGAAAAGTAAAACCATCATGAGATGGCTTGTACTTTAATGAATGACAAGAGCTGTGAGCGATAGCATCTCACTTAATTTCCACAAGCATACATGCTCTACAGAGATGTCAGTTCTTACTTGGAAACATATGTACTTGAGAAAGTGCTCAATGTACTTTCAGAATATTCCATGACTTTGCTGCTGCGCGTGTAGTTGGGAAAATCTTCTGGAATGGGAAAGTCACTGTAACCAGGAAGTGCCTGGTGCTGCGCTGGCACCTACCTGCAGTGGCAGCCCACCCTCACCCCGTATGCAGATCTGGGATACACGCCCCCCATGCCCTCCCAGAGGGCATGCAACAGCGGGAGCTGTCCCCCCAGCACTTTCTGGATGAGCTGCTCATGGCTCCGTCTCCTGCTCCACCTTGGCTGTGCAGCACCTGCCCCTAGCCCCACCCCAGCCCCACTCCCTCCCTCACTGCAGGTAGGGATGTAGGAAAGTTCAATGGGTGTTTCATTTCAAAGCTGTTTCGAAGTGGTTTGAGCTTGAAACAGTGAAATTGAAACAAAATGAAGAGCTTCGAAACAGAATGAGGGCACTCAAAACCTTTCAAAAGTTTTGAAAGGTTTCGAGTTTCGGAGCTGGGCTTGCTTGCAGCTAAACAGAAACTAAGGAGAGGGAGGGGAAGAAGGAGGAAGGACTGCTGCGATATTGACATCTAGCTCCCAGTTTGATTCCCCAGGTCTAATCACTTCTCCCAGCTCTTTTAATATTTCCCCAGCTCTTCCCAGGGTGCATGGGCCCCTGATCTGCACATGGGGTTTCAGCAGGCTGCCACTCCAAGCTGGGGCCAGTGCCAGCACCTGAGTCTGCCCGGTGCAGCCTGTGCCAAGCACCAGGAAGAACCTAGTGCTGGCTCTGGCCCTAGCTGAGGCTGTGTTAGACTCCTCCTAGTGGGCACAGGCTTCTGGATCTGCATGCAGGATGACAACATGATGCTGCTCCTGGTTGGGGCCAGCAACAGCACCAGCACCTAGAGTTGGCCTGGTGCAGCCCACGCCGAGCGCCGGGAAGAATCCAGTGCTGGCGCTGGCCCCAGCCAGCAGCCTGCTGTCATCTCGCATGCAGATCCAGGGGCCTGCACCCCCCCAGGAGGGCTGTGGGGCTGTGCCAGACTCCTCTTGGGGGCACAGGCCCCTGGATCTGCATGCAGGATGACAGCAAGTTGCCACAGCCAGCAAGTGATAGGAGTTTTGCTTTGAACAATTTGAGGTGCAGTTTCCCAGAAACCCCTGCACCTATCTCATCAAAACTTGGCAGGCTTCATGTCCTCAGAAGGGGCTACCATCCCTGCAGGTTTAATCCAAAGCAGGAAAGAAGTGACAGAGTTATAGGCATTTTCATGATTCCCCATTATAGCCTATGTGCGAAACATCAAAACAGCAAAACAGTTTCAACGAAACAAAATGGAACAGTGCTTCAAGCCAGCAAAATGAAACACTGTCCCTTTGAAATGGCAAAATGTAAGTCAAAATGAAACAGTGCTGTTTCGCACAACCCTAACTGCAGGGGCCTCGATCTGCCCCTCCCATGCCCCTTCCCTCCCCCTTTCCCCACAACAGACTTACCAGCTGGACGCTGCTCTCCATGCTGCCCAGCTGCATATCGGTTGATATAGTTCATTAAAAATTGGTCATCAGAATCAGCCCAAAAATTCTGTATTGGTACACCACTAATACATACTCACACACACCCCCTTAAGTACACAAATTGTAAGGAACATTCTCCATACGTAGTACAAAAGTACAAATCAAAACACTACATGATACAAATGAGCATAGCTACATTAAGCTCCTTGAAGCTAGGTTAATTTTTCACTAGTGAGGATTTGGCCTAGTCCATCTAGGGGGCCAAGTTAGCTGAAGTTGTACTGGTGCAACTAGCAGCAGAATTTTTTCCATATTTCCATTATAAATGAGAAAGTCCTCAGATGTGATTGTAATTGGTCCTTATGGGTTCTGTTTTCTATTTATATTATTTGCATGAACTTGGAAGTACCCACTACACTTTAGGAAAAGAACTGAGCTGATGCCTTGCAGTCCCTCTCACCAAAGATCTGTCACCTACCCTGGGACAGACCTTAGCATTTGTCTTCCAGCAAGCCACAAATCCAGCTTCACCAAACTGCCCCTTGGGCGTCTCAGTGAACAGCACAAAGACATTAAAAGATTGGGATCTTTTTGAACAAGTTCCTCTTTTCCAAGTTGTGCAGATACACTTGAGTTAGCTTTATAAGAGCTGGAGTATGTGCTGATAGCAGTATAGCTGTGGTAGCATGAAGCTTCACTCAGGCTGCAGATATCTGCCCTTTTGGAATAGAAGTAAATAGCATTGTCCTATGGTGGCTCACACACACTGCTGCAGCTACACTGTTTGCAGTCCCCAGGCTACATACTTTAAAGAAAGAAAAATATCTTCTGTGTGCCCTTATGTGTTCCTGTGGCTCTTCTCTCATTTTTCCTACCCAAGGTTCTGAAAGCTATTCATGCCCCTCCCCCCATTATGTTATTCTTACTGACAACTCATATTAATTTAGTTAAAAAAGTGGATTTGTCCCAGCAAAGAAGATGCCTGCAGGCTGTAAATGTTTGTTTCTGGACTGAACTACCCAAACATTCAGGACTCCCTATGCAACCTCAGTAGCTCACTACCTGAGCTGAGCCTGCTTATATAGTTTGAAAAAAAATGGACATGGGTTATGTCTACACTGTTAGTTAGGGTCAACACTGAAGTTGTCCTCACACAGGCTGAACCATGAGTTATTTTAATCTATAATCACACCCACACCAAGTCCATCCCTTAACTATCAACTGGTCATTGTAGACATACAGAGATGATACCAGTCTTTTGCTCACCTGTTCAGAGCAGTGTTACGACTTCCTGTTCTGCCCTTAGCCAACACTCTGTTGGGACCCACAGAAGAAAAACTTTTAAATTGATAACCAGGAAAGTCAAGTTTATAAATAAAAGTTCCAACAATCTTAAAATCAAGGACTGACTCATTTGAAAAAAAATGAAATCATAAAAATAAAAAGTCTTATATCTGCAAAAGTTTTGAAGCTCCAAAGTTAATTCTCTTTCAGAGATGGCTTTACAACAAATTCAGATTTCCTTTTTAAAAAGGAATATATGAACCATTTGTAAAAATCATAAACTCTACTTTAATTCATGGAACACTTTATAACATTCTGCCACCATTCTGATGACCATTTCAAGAATGTGTTCAATATAATTTTAAATAAAAGAAAAACATATTTTTTAGAAAGCAATAAAAAAAAAGTATTTCAATGTAAAGTTTAAACTATTTTCTTTTTCCAGCATAATTTTAGTTAAAACAAAAAGTGATGCTTAGCAAGTTGGCAGCCTTTAGAAGATGGCTAATGCTAAACTAAAAATCACAGTATGTCAGATTATCACCATAATCTAGACAGAAAAACCTAAAATTACTAAAATGCATGCTAAGAGAGGATCCTAGTGCATGCTGGAACCTCACTGGGACTTCATTTGAGAATTAGGGTCTTGTCAGGATACTTTGGGTTAGTCAAAGGAGAAACTAGTGTCCAAGGAATTGCAAGTGGAACCCTAGGTGTCAGCACTTGTGAGATCCTAAATTAACACTTCATCAACTCATTTATCCATCATAAGCCTCACAAGCCAGGAGCATTTCAGGATCTGAAGGTCCATGGCATGACCATTCATTTCCAAATAGAAACCAGCGGATCCAAACTATTTAAGTAGTCACATATCGATGTATCAGTAGCACAAGAGGCAAAGGATCAAGGGCTGTGTCACTGATTATACCTGGCAAAGACAATTGAAGTAAAGGTGACAGGAAGAGAAGAGTGATTTGAAGATCTTACTTCCCATACAAAGTTCATCACTAGCAAACATTTGCCCTGGTTCCTAAATTACTCCATGGCCTTGAAATCCTTTAAAACTTTCTTGGTGCTACTGAGTGCTAAATAACAACAGTGGCCAGAAAATTCTGGCTGAATTCTGCAGAAAATCTGCAGCTGGCCAGAAAACCGCACTCCATCCTACCAAACACAGCATTGAAAAATCCAGATTTATTTACTTGTCCATTCATTCACATGCTCCAGCTTGACTGTGATACACAGGAGAAGATTTCTGCCAGAAGAGGGCTCCTTAATCTAACAAATAAAATTTAACAGTGCCTGGAAACTGAAGCCAAGCAAATCAATGCTGGAAAGAAGGAGCAAATTAACAACTGGGACAGTCGACCTCAGGATCTGATGATTTTTCCGTTACTTGGGATGTATAAATCATAACTCGATTTTTTCCTCAAAGATATAATTCAACTGCCCCAAAGATGTGGGCTTGCGCTGGAATCATGTAGTGTAATTCTCTGGCATGTGTTATACAGGAGGACAGACTGGATGATCATAATGACCCCTTTTAAGAAATTCTGAGTGCAGCCATATACCTGTGAAAAACCCCAGATGCTAGAAAATGAAACAGACTAACTGCCCAGAGTGTCTACTTTTGAAACTGTCTTCCAACCTTTAGTGATGGAGAATATCGCATTTGTTTTTACTAAAGTGCTGA